ATCCACACAAGTGGACCTTGTTGGAGCATACGTAATCCTAAAATGTAGCATCGTGCTACAGATGGCGTTTACTGCGCCATTTGTAGTATTTTCTAAAGCGCACTGTTAAGACAGCGGGTAAAAGATGGTCTGTGTTCTGTCGGAGCTGCCTGCGACGCGCTGATGTGATCCAAAAAGATCGAAATCGCGATCCGCGTCTGGCAGTTTCGACAGAATTATTTTAAAACTAGAATTGTTTGATAATTGCAGGTATATCTAACGTATTTCATTTAAACCTGTTTTTACTGAAGAGTTAGATACGACAACAATCGAAAGCCTTTACTAAGGGAATATATCCATACCACGTGACCTATTTTTTACCCCCATCCCCACTCGGTGATCTACTGTAGTATATGCAAAGATCTACCTTCCCCTCTAGTATTAACGTAGTAATTCATAAATATGGTTTTAAATTATTTTTTTGCAAAGAGAATGTTTCGCTAACGGATATTGACTACGTGACGAAAATCTAAGTCCCCCGCGCCCCTGTGACCAAGCGTGGTATTTACATTCCCTAAGGTACAATTACTTTTATTATGCTATATATATATTGATGATGTGTTTTTTTAAGTATCTGAAAGTTTATACATTTTTGGAACAATGCGTAAATGATGATGGAAGATCAAAACTGAGAACAAAATTATTATGGTGTGGTGATGATTCAAATCACTAATTATTATTTTACAAACTTTCAAAGCAATATTTGCATAACTGTAAATGAAAAAAGTTTCTTTGATGTAAAACTAAATTGATGAACTTGATTTACAAACAGGCTGAAATAGGCAACGGTACTGTTGGTTCAAAATTCGCTTTTGTGTAATCCCAGTTTTGATCATGGCTTTTCTAATAGCAGCTTGTGATTAAAAATTCTGTTTTATTTACCTTTACAAGCAATATGTGTATTCATATGCATGTAGGTACGTATTGGTAACCGTATTGTACGGTGTTCAAAAGAGCCCCTTGTTAACTTAATGCTAGGAATTTCGACTAGCGCTATTTTAGAACACCATTATCGCAGTAGAGAGGTTTTGCTGGCTTACTTATTCATGTTAGCGGTTAACAGATAGAGCGATAGGAATTACCTTCTAGTACGTTAATTATTACGGTAATGATCAGAGACAATGAAATTTTCGTAACAGTTTTCTACCATTTGCTCAACCGGATTATCTTTGTAGTTACCTAAACCGCTACACGGATACGGATACGTATATATTCATATGTAGGTTCATGTAGACGGAACAATGCAAAGAGAATGACTTTTTTTGTATTATGTTTGATAATTGCTAACGAATCATTGTCTGTCAAGAGGAACAAATATTTAATTATGAGAAAATTGGGAAAATATACTCGTAAACGGGACTTCTGAGAATAACTGAAACTTTCAATTAAATTTCGTGTACAAACGATTTAAGAACCTTCCTTGGAATTATGACAATGCCGATATCTATATTTAAATATTTCAGCATAGAGTACAGTGATAAGGACATGGCAGAAATTATTATTTAATATTTTTTTTTATGCTAATGTTCCTTGCCATGATGTAACTGTAATTGCTTCCTGGATACC